GTGTGCTATTTACTAAAAGGGTCAGTCTATTTTACAAAAATATCTGCCCCTGTAGATAAAAACAAACTGTGCTCCTATAATCAATGTTGAATTATGTACCCCTCCAGATGTCTGTGCAAAAAACTCCCATAGCGGAGTTCCCTGTCCTGCCTTGTTGCTAGGACATTGCTATAGAGCACTAGCCATTGTTGCTCTCCTCTGCCATCACGCAATGCTCCCTCAGATTTAAACACTGCACATGCACTTTCTTCTCTGTTGTCATGGTGATGAGCTCAGCATCATTGCACAGCACAGCACAGCACTTTTGTGGCATTTGAATCGGAGGGCTTGTGGTGGGCATCAGTGACTGGAGCGCCACAGCAACATCTTTCTTGGATTCAGGCATTGCAGGTGTGCAATCTACCCTGCTGTCATTGCATTGAGCTGGGCACCATAAAAACTGGAGAGAATGTATTATTGGTTTTTGGAGCTGCAGAAGCCTGCCCAAAAACCTCCCACAGTTGGAGTTCCCTTATCCTGTTGTTAGGATGTTGCTATGGCGCTTATGATGCCCTCCTCTGCCATTGCAAGAGAGCACTCTCTCAGATTCAAACATTTCACAATCTCTTCCCTGTTGCCATGGTGTTGGTTGGGATCATAGCAACATTTTAGCAACAGGATGAGGAAATGCCGGCTATGGGAGTTTTTCATGGAGGTTTCTAGAGCTCTGGATGTTGATGCTTGCCTCTGCCATCACAAGAGCGCATCTGCAGCTCCAGAAGCCTGCCTGAAAACACCCCACAGCTGGCGTTCCCTACTCCTTTGGCTTATTTATTTATTTATTAACTACTGAACCCACCCAGCACTGCCACTGATCCCATCCACCCCAAGTAATGCCACTCATCCCTTCCTCCCACCAGCACTGCCACTGATCACACTTTCCCCCCAGCAACCAATGGGTGAGCTGAAGTTATGTGCAGTAAGCTGTACCAACCAATCAGTGAGTGGTAATGATGTGCAGTAATCTCCAAAAACCAATCAGTGACCAGTAATAATGTGCAGTAACCTCTACCAACTAATCAGTGAGCAGTAATGATGTGTTGTAACCTCTAGCAACCAATCAGTGAGCAGTAAGGAAGTGCAGCAACCTCTAGCAACTAATCAACAAGCAGAAATTATGTGCTGTAACCTCTGGCATCTATTCAGTGATCCGCAATGTGTGCTTTAACCTCTAGCAACCAGTCAGTGAGCAGTAATGATATGCTGTTACCTCTAGCAACAAATCACAATCGCTGCCTGATCTGCTGCAGTAAACTGATTTTGTGTCTAGCTGTTATTTATTGTATGTCTCAGAGCAAGTGGAGAGTGAAATTGCATGGGGGAAGCAAGAAAATGTTTGCCAAGGGTCCAACCAATATTAAAGATGGCACTAAGTATAGAAAAAAAAATTATTTTACTCAGGTTGGATTAAAGATAATAAAATAGATAAATGCAGCAGCATTTCAAGTCAAGGGCATCCTCAGCTTCTCAAACTGCCTGGAAAACAACAATCTTCTTTTTCCAAGTACCCATGACAGAGCCCTGGATGAAATCAACCAGTTTTTGTCTTCTACCCATATATATATATATATATATATATATATGTATATGGCACCCTTGATATTTTATATATATATATATTACTAGAGGGGACTCCTTGTGTCCTGCTAAAAATGGGTTACAACCAGTATGACCCAATAATGGCTCAAGTAGGGCAAAGGACAATATGGTACATGGTGGCTTAATGTGCATTTGTAATCAAAAACTTTTTTTTGTTTTGGATAGGATAGGAAAGGAAAATGTTAAAACTCCTGTCACCTTTTTTACTGTCTATGTACCATAGGAGAAGTTTCCCTTCACTGCCTGTCCCAAAAGATAAAACAGAATATGAGGGGAGATCTCCCGAAATTGTCTAAAGGAATGATCCCCTGTTGACAGTTTTCCCTGCAATAAGTGTCACCTTTTGGATGTTCCAAAGATTTCCCCTTAGCTCATGCATTACCAGCCATTGTTGACCACTCTCTCTCCTCTCCCCAATAGTCTGTCTGAGGAACAAATCTGATAGACCTGGGGCGGAACTGGGTGAAAAATAGGATCATTATCCGTATGCTACAGTGCTTAGGATATACAGTATATACAGTATCATTACCCATTTGTAATCTAAAAACAATCAGGAGTGGACTGACAACTCATGCGGCCCCCAAGCAATAGGGGATCATGGGGCCCCTGTGTCCTTGCCCAAACTCAAAAAAGCCTATGAAAAAGGTACCAGGGGCATCTCATGGGGCCTCCTACTGACCCCGGGCCCTCGGACAGTGCCCGAGTTTCCAAATGGTCAGTCCGCCCCTGTACCCAATATTTTTTCCACATGACTAATGATATTCAATGACAGTAAATTTCATGTGGAAAACATATCATATCTTCACCTGCGAAAGAATTAATGCACAGGTAATAAAGTAAATCAATTTTTACAAAGCAACTCAAAGTATGTCCATATCGTATGTTGACAAATACAGCATCAGATAAACATAAACAAAAACACCTGTCTATTGACCCCCTCTATACTAAATAGCTGCTTTAATACACACACTGTTAAACCAAATATCGCCCAAAACACACAGCACTTACATAATTATATAAAGTGCAAAACAACTATTATACAAGTGTATATTGTAATATATAACCTTGTGATTCCTTAAATATATGAACTACTTATATCCTTCAAATCAATACATTTGTTCATATAGTGCAACAGTTCCTTCAAAAAGTGCAATGATATATAACTCCTCCTTCATGACAATAAAGTGCTTCATGCAATCACTTCCAATCTTTGCTCTTTGTGTTCCACTTAACCTCCGTGTGCCACCACCATAACCGAGAACTCACCAGACAGCCATGACTTTCCCAATTACGAGTTGGTCTATATGCGCTTGTTTGTGTATATATAGGATCCCCTCTCCAATGGATCACTCTACTATGTTCCTCATTTATTCTTCGCCAAGGGTATCATATATTTAGGAGGGAGAAAGAGAGACTCCAATAGTGTCAAATACCCTTTATTAAAACTCAGATAATAAACATAAAAACATTAGTTATCCCGCTCACATTTAACAGTGCATTCTGCCCTGCACATGGGTGTAAACGCTCAATCTCATACCCGGTCAGCCCTGCCTCTCATCACTCAGGCTGTTTCCACAATGCAAGCTTATCTCACCACTTCCGGATTACTGGACCATCACTGAGTTTTAATAAAGGGTATTTGACACTATTGGAGTGTCTCTTTCTCCCTCCTAAATTTATGATACCCCTGGCAAAGACAGATATAAATGAGGAACATAGTGGAGTGATCCATTGGAGAGGGGATCCTATATATACAAACAAGCGCATATAGACTAACTTTTAATCGACAAGGTCATGGCTGTCTAGTGAGTTCTTGGTTATGGTGGTGGCACCCCGAAGGGAAGTGGAGCACAAAGAGCAGAGATTGGAAGTGATTGCATGAAGCACTTTATTTTCACGGAGGAGAAGTTATATACCATTGCACTTTTTGAAGGAACTGTTGCACTATATGGACAAATGTATTAATTTGAAGGATATAAGTAGCACTTCATATACTTAAGGAGCCACAAGTTTATATATTAGAATATACACTTGTATAATGGTTTTTTTTTGCACTTTATATAATTTGCACTTTATATTATTATTAGAGATGAGCGAATTATTCAAAAATTTGGTTCGGCTGATTCGCCGAATTCGCCGAATAAAATTCGCTTCGAGCCGAATATATTCGCTGCGAATTTAACTTATAAAAAGGGTGTTTCTAGGCTTCAGAGAGCCTTTATATTAGTGCAGAACACTGTACCTTTAATATAAATGCCCTTGGAGTCTGCTGGGGAAGAGAAATAATACTGTCAGTCAGTATGACATGCAGATGAGTGCCGTCGATCTTAGAATCACAGCACACTTCACTCATTTTGGGCAGTCACGGGGCCAAAACCAGAGTGTGGAGCCACAGTGTGGCGGTGGAGGCAGCAGCAATGGGAGGCCATACAGCACCCTATGACAAAATGGAACCCACCAGCAGTGTGAGGAGACCTGAAAGTGGCACATGGCAGAGTGTGGCGATGGAGACAGCAGCAATGGGAGGCCGTACAGGGACCCATGACACACTCTGGACCTGGCAGCAGCATGAGGAGGCGGTACAGGGGCCCATGACAGATTACGGGCCTGGCAGCAGCATGAGGAGTCGGTACGGGGGCCCATGGCAGATTACGGGCCTGGCAGCAGCATGAGGAGGCGGTACAGGGCCCATGGCAGAGTGGCGGAGCGTAAGCAGCTAAAATTGAAGGCCATACAGAGGCCTATGTTAAAAAGTCCCCCCAGCAGCAGCGTGGGGAGACGACTATCAAGAGTCCAATGGCAGAGTGGCGGAGCAGAAGCAGCTTCAATTGAAGGCCATACACAGGCCTAGGTTTAAAAGTCCCTCACAGTTAATTCCAATAACGAACTCTACTCCTCCGTGCAATCTACTTACGAGACCCTGGGCAGGTCTGGGTCCAATTTGTGGTAGAGACTGGTTTTGTTCAGCCATGCTTGAGCGAGTAATAACAGGTCTGTGCTGCCCTTTGGTGTCTGGCTTAATGCGCACAACACTGAACGTCCCAGCGTTTGTCAACGATTTGCCGTTAAGTGATGCAAACCCGCTGAACCACGTTCATGAGGAGCCGGTACAGGGGGCCATGAATCAGTATGGACCTGGCAGCAGCGTGAGCAGACGACAGAGGCACATGGCGCAGGGTGGCGGTGTAGGCAGCATTATTCTGAAGCCATACACAGGCCTAGGTTAAAAAGCGGAAGCCGTCAGCAGCGTGAGCAGACGACAGAGACACATGGCGCAGGGTGGCGGTGGATGCAGCAGTATTCGGAAGCCAAACACAGGCCTCGGTTTAAAAGCGGAAGCCGTCAGCAGCGTGAGCAGACGACAGAGGCACATGGCGCAGGGTGGCGGTGGAGGCAGCAGCAATGGAAGGCCATACAGCACCCTATCACAAAATGGAACCCACCAACAGTGTAAGGAGACCTGAAAGTGGCACATGGCAGAGTCTGGCGATGAAGTCAGCAGCAATGGGAGGCCGTACAGGGACCCATGACACACTCTCTGGACCTGGCAGCAGCAAGAGGAGGCGGTACAGGGGCCCATGGCAGAGTGGCGAAGCGTAAGCAGCTTAAATTGAAGGCCATACAGAGGCCTATGTTAAAAAGTCCCCCAGCAGCAGTGTGGGGAGACGACTATCAAGAGTCCAATGGCAGAGTGGCGGAGCAGAAGCAGTTTCAATTGAAGGCCATACACAGGCCTAGGTTAAAAAGTCCCCCCAGCAGCAGCGTGGGGAGACGACTATCAAGAGTCCAATGGCAGAGTGGCGGAGCGGAAGCAGCTTCAATTGAAGGCCATACACAGGCCTAGGTTAAAAAGTCCCCCCAGCAGCAGTGTGGGGAGACGACTATCAAGAGTCCAATGGCTGAGTGGCGATCCGGGAAGTCAGCGTTGTGATTGCAGATGCAATGCAGAAATTCTACGAAGTAATGCCATGGGTGCGAAGATCATATACCGTCGTACTTCCATCCATAAGACGGAACAACCTGCGAACCGGGAGCTTTATTGCCCTGACCCGCTGAGCAGCTTCTGGGATACCAAGAGGCCCATGGCAGAGTGGCGGAGCGTAAGCAGCTTCAATTAAAGGCCATACAGAGGCCTATGTTAAAAAGTCCCCCCAGCAGCAGCGTGGGGAGACGACTATCAAGAGTCCAATGGCAGAGTGGCGGAGCGGAAGCAGCTTCAATTGAAGGCCATACACAGGCCTAGGTTAAAAAGTCCCCCCAGCAGCAGTGTGGGGAGACGACTATCAAGAGTCCAATGGCTGAGTGGCGATCCGGGAAGTCAGCGTTGTGATTGCAGATGCAATGCAGAGATTCTATGAGGTGATGCCGTGGGTGCGAAGAAGATCATATACCGTCGTACTTCCATCCATAAGACGGAACAACCTGCGAACCGGGAGCTTTATTGCCCTGACCCGCTGAGCAGCTTCTGGGATACCCAAGAGGCCCATGGCAAGGAGTGGCGGAGCGTAAGCAGCTTCAATTAAAGGCCATACAGAGGCCTATGTTAAAAAGTCCCCCCAGCAGCAGCGTGGGGAGATGACTATCAAGAGTCCAATGGCAGAGTGGCGGAGCGGAAGCAGCTTCAATTGAAGGCCATACACAGGCCTAGGTTAAAAAGTCCCCCAGCAGCAGTGTGGGGAGACGACTATCAAGAGTCCAATGGCTGAGTGGCGATCCGGGAAGTCAGCGTTGTGATTGCAGATGCAATGCAGAGATTCTATGAGGTGATGCCGTGGGTGCGAAGAAGATCATATACCGTCGTACTTCCATCCATAAGACGGAACAACCTGCGAACCGGGAGCTTTATTGCCCTGACCCGCTGAGCAGCTTCTGGGATACCCAAGAGGCCCATGGCAGAGTGGCGGAGTGTAAGCAGCTTCAATTAAAGGCCATACAGAGGCCTATTTTAAAAAGTCCCCCCAGCAGCAGCATGGGGAGCGACTATCAAGAGTCCAATGGCAGAGTGGCGGAGCGGAAGCAGCTTCAATTGAAGGTCATACACAGGCCTAGGTTAAAAAGTCCCCCCAGCAGCAGTGTGGGGAGACGACTATCAAGAGTCCAATGGCTGAGTGGCGATCCGGGAAGTCAGCGTTGTGATTGCAGATGCAATGCAGAAATTTTATGAGGTAATGCGTGGGTGCGAAGAAGATCATATACCGTCGTACTTCCATCCATAAGACGGAACAACCTTCGAACCGGGAGCTTTATTGCCCTGACCCGCTGAGCAGCTTCTGGGATACCCAAGAGTTTGGCTTCTGTGGGGAATATGGTTGAAAACTGAAACTTAAAGGCATGTTGACGGAAGGGCACCAGTGTCAGTGCTCCGGAGGGAATATAGCTTCAAAGCTGACACTTAAAGGTATATCGACGGTCAGAGACCACAGGAAGTGGAGCTTGCGTCTTAAATCGACTGAATGTGGCAGACGTGAAACGTCTACGGGCCGTATATGAAACGGGTTGTTCCTCTTTCTGGAATAAGTGTTGGAAATGGCCACTCTTTTTGGTGTGGCGTTTTGTCTATTTAATTCCGATAACGGACTCTACTCCTCCGTGCAATCTAGTTACGAGACCCTGGGCAGGTCTGGGTCCAATTTGTGGTAGAGACTGGTTTTGTTCAGCCATGCTTGAGCGAGTAATAACAGGTCTGTGCTGCCCTTTGGTGTCTGGCTTAATGCGCACAACACTGAACGTCCCAGCATTTGTCAACGATTTGCCGTTAAGTGATGCAAACCCGCTGAACCACGTTCATGAGGAGCCGGTACAGGGGGCCATGAATCAGTATGGACCTGGCAGCAGTGTGTGAGGAGACCCGAAAGTGGCACATGGCGCAGGGTGGCGGTGGAGGCAGCAGTATTCGGAAGACATACACAGGACTAGTTTAAAAAAGCGGAAGCCGTCAGCAGCGTGAGCAGACGACAGAGGCACATGGCGCAGGGTGGCGGTGGAGGCAGCAGTATTCGGAAGCCATACACAGGCCTAGGTTAAAAAGCGGAAGCCGTCAGCAGCGTGAGCAGACGACAGAGGCACATGGCGCAGGGTGGCGGTGGAGGCAGCAGTATTCGAAAGCCATACACAGGCCTAGGTTTAAAACTGGAACCCAGCAGCGCGTGACGACAGATGCACATGGCAGAGGATGGATCTGGCAGCAGTATGAGAAGGCGGTACAGGGGCCCGTGGCACAGTGTGGTGATGGGGGCTACAGCAACTGGATGCCAGAAAGTGGCCGATAGGGCTATATACTGCATGGAATTATAAAGTTGTAAAGACAGCGGCCTATAAGGCTATACACACTATAACAATCATGACTTGATTGACCATTGGCCTATAAGGCTATACACAGCATGAATATCATGACTTATTCTGAGAGTGGTTTGGAAGGCTATATACAAAAAGTAATTCATGAGCTGTCCGGACAGCGGACAATAAGTACATATATACAAATCAATTCATCAGCTGTCCAGCCAGCGGCCTCAAAGGCGACACATATAGAAAGCAATTCATGAGCTGTTTCAGACAGCGGCCTCTAAGGCGACAGATATACAAAGCAATTCCCGAGGTGTTCAGGGAGCGGCCTGAACGGCTAGGTTATTACTAAATATATTTTTGTGGCCAAACATCGGCCTATAAATAGATGTCTACACAGTGACAAAAAATTATGTCGCCAGACAGCGGCCCCTAAGGCGACAGATATACAAAGCAATTCCCGAGGTGTTCAGTGAGCGGCTTGAACGGCTAGGTTATTACTAAATATATCTTTCTGGCCAAACATCGGCCTATAAATAGATGTCTACACAGTGACAAAAAAGTAGGTCGCCTTACAGCGGCGTATTCTACAAATTGACATTATAAGAAATGGTTTAGACCAAAAAAAAAAACAAAAAACTTTGATGTGATGCTATACCTTAGTAGATTGTGGAAAGTCGACAAGTCAAGCGTAACTGTGTACATTACAGAAAATCTTAACAAGACAACCAAACATGTGGCCAAACCGTGACCGATACAACTGTGGTGGCTATTTTGGGCCTATAATAATTTTCAACATATTTACCATCTGTTGTATCACCTCAACACACCTCCATGTATGTTACTGTGACTGTGGGGGGGAGAGGGGGAGTACACAAAAGACTCAATGGAGGTGAGGGGGAAGGCAACAGCTTCTTTGTGTACCTTGCTCTGAAGCCTACCCATTGGAAGATAACTTGGGTGGGTGGTTCTTGGGATGGTCTATTGTAAAGTGCATAAAACACCTAGGACAAAGGATAAGCCCTCTTTATCGTGTGTGCCTTCCAGGAGCCAGACCTAACAACATCTGGGTGTCTGTAATGTATAAGCCATGCTCTATCTTTTATTTTCTATAACTTCCTTTCTTAAGTCATCTCTCTATACTGTAACATCTAATATTTTATTTCATGTAACATCAATTGATTGACTATATTAGTAACTATTTGTCTTCTGTATAAATAAATTAGATTTACTTTTTCTTTTTATTTGGCACAGTGGTTATTGGTTAGAAATAATCTACAACTGAGAGAGAGGCAACAAGGCCTGATTCTGTTGTGATAAAAGGTTGTAATCACTTATTGTATTTGTAATCGATAGAAACCAAGTGAATAAGTGTGGGAGAGAAAAACCGCCAAAACATTTGGTGCCCCTTGGTGAGGAAGCCTGACTGTTTGGTGTGATTGGTACGTCTTGTGTGGAAGACAGAGCTGAGCCAGGCAATTCTAACTCCAGAACGGTAAAAGCATTTATTTATGCCTTTGAATGTTTTCACCTCTGTCTCCCCTGCCTGAACACCTGGACAAGTAAGCTTCTTTGAACATTGTTTTTTTTTTTAACCTTTTGTCTGCACTAACACTTTTGATGAGACTGATTACAAACAGTATAATTGAAATGAAATTGTTCTGTTGTTCTGAGAGTGTATGAGTAAACATCCTAACTGCTTGGTGCGCCTATTGCAGCAGAGTGTATGTTTGAATGAAAGAGATCTGACTGGGATTCTTGGAGGCAGTGAAATAAAACGTTGGATCTGTGCCATTCTGCCAAAAGGTTTTCAGTTGACACTATCAAGTTTTGGGTGAACCCCCGGGGTGTTTTAAGACTTCAGAACGGATAAATTTAAAATTTTTTTTGAGAATAGTGAAAAAACAGCAACGGTACAAGGGGGGGGTACCTGTAACCCCCAAAATTGGCCAAGAATAGCTACCTCTGGGGGGAAACCGCTTAAAGGG